ATTTAGCAGCGTCCACATCCACCGATTTGAATGCAAAGTATAACTGAGTATCGTCGGCGAATAGATGATAATCTAAGCCATAAGATCTTATCACTTTAGCAAGTGGCGCAGTATACAGAAGGTAGAGAACAGGTCCAAGAACTGAACCTTGGGGAACACCCATGGGAAGATCTCGTACCGTAGAATTCGCCTCATTGATGTTTACAAACTGAGTTCTTTGAGAAAGATAAGAATCGAACCATTGCAGTACAGTTCCTCTGATACCAAATGATTTCTGCAGTCGTGCCAGCAGCAAGGAATGGTTAACGGTATCAAATGCTGCCGACAGATCCAATAAAACGAGGAAAACATTCTCACCCTTATCCAATGACAGCATAATGTCATTTGTAACTGTGAGAAGTGCAGTCTCGGTGCTGTGAAAAATCTTGTACGCTGATTGAAGAGGCTCGTGTAGATCATTTTCGCCAAGATAGCTATTCAATTGCACAAACACTGCTTTCTCTATCAATTTAGACAGGAACTTTAAATTTGATACAGGGCGAAAATTACTAAACTGCTCAAAGTCTGCATTTAATTTCTTAAGAATAGGTGATAGCAGCGCCACCTTAAGTTCCTTGGGCAGCAATCCAGATGACAATGACAAATTAATGACCCTTCTAAATATAGGGACAAGACTAGAATAGCATTTCCGCATGATACTAGCTGGAAGTGGATCCAGTGCGCATGCCTTAATAGTTGAACCCCTAATCAACCCTAAGACGTCTTCATCTGTTACCATTGTGAACTCGCTAAAGCATGACGTACACTCAGAATCCTCCATGGTGCGCTCCCCCAGCTGCTCTTTTCTAGCCAGCAACTCATCACGAATTCGCACAATCTTGGCACTAAAGAAATCAGCAAAGGCATCTGCGAGTTCTTGGTCACTGTTCGCAGACGGATATCTTTTGTCTATACTCCTTTGCAGTAATTTACTGTAATTGTACTTCTCGACGATAAGACCATGGCGACTGAAGAATTTATTAAATGATTTCTGAAGTAGATTGGTTTCAAAGCCTTGCTGTCTGAGTCGTAATGAAAGTCCACGGAGTCTATTGATGAAGTCAACTCTGGACGTGCAAATTCTAGCATATCTCACCAGTTGAGATATATAAACACCGTAAGCTGGATTGGCGGGAATGTTGCTGTCCATATGAGGAAATTTGACAATCCGAAATGCAAAGTCGTCTCTCTTATCGTAGATGCTGATACGGAAGGGTGTGTTTTCGCCAGTCTTGATATTAGTGTCGAGATAACACACTTCAGTAGATGATGTGGAAGTGTCCTTAAGTTCCAATTCCGACGGGTAAATTGCGCTGATGTAATTTCCAAAGTCCACATTGTTAGCACTGAATAAATCGTCGATGTACCGAAAGGTGTTGCTGAATTGGATGGCTTTTGTAATATCCTGTTTCATTGTTTTGACGATGAAATCGTTCTCGAAGGTATGAAGGAAGAGATCAGCCAATAAAGGTGCACTGTTGGTGCCCATTGGTATACCAATACCCTGCCGGAAAACAGAGCTTCCAAAGCGAACGTAGATGTTGTCGATAAGAAAGTCAATAGCGAGACAAAGCTCTCTACAGGAGAAGTACGTGTACCTCGTTGACCTTCTATCATTCGTCTAGAAGGTGCGAAAATTATTGGTAGCAATGAAGCTCTTTCTTTTAGTATTAAAAACTCTTTCCAAAAGATCATGGAGTTGCTTTTTAAGTTGGGCGTGTGGAAGGCTAGTATAAAGTGTCGAAAAGTCCCAAGTACTCACATGATTTAGGGAAAGCTGTTTTTCCTCCAGTACACCGATAACGTCCAACGAATTATTGATGATCCACATGCAGTTAACTCCTGTCCTTACTCGAATCGTCTTGCAGTAAGCGGTGCAGTGGGTGCGGACCAGTTTAAGACACTCAGTAATTAATTTAGAGAGCCTAGTTGTAGTGCATGAACTTGAACCTTCAATAAATCTTGCCTTGTACGGTGTCTTGTGAAGTTTAGGAATCCAATATATCTGTGGCAAGCTTTTCTCCTTCTGTTGTAATTTGATGTCAAATACATCCTCCAATGTTGTGGCGTGGGTCTGTATTATATCATCCACTGTACGATCCTGAGTTACATATGTCGAATTACGATTTCTTCTTGAATTTATGCCAAGCTCTTCCATTAGAGTATGTACGTAATAATACTTACAAGCAAAAGTGATGTTGTTGCCGGCTTTATCTGCAGGAACCAGTACATATTTACTTTGAAATATTATAGAAACAAAATCTGTAGCCTGATACGCCTAAGTAAAAAGATATACTATCAGGATTATTTCGAACGCCACAAAACAAACATGAAAAAGACATGGGAAGGAATAAATGACGTCTTGCATCGCAGAAAGAAGACCAAAATTATAAATGCTATTAAGGAACCGAATAAGAGCAACAAAATCGTAGGCTAGCAAGCACAATTCCAACGCCACAACAACATTAACTTAATTACGTTAGTCATTGCAAAGCACCATCTTCATCGTTTCTATTCTTACCGGTAACGTCCGACGAAGTGAAATTTCAGATACTCTCCATACCAAACAACAAGTCTTATGGTCTATATTCATCTCCCATAAAATTACTAAAGTGTGCAAGTAGTATCATAGCTCCTATTCTATCAGAAATATTAAATATCTCAGTAACACTAGGTAAATACCCCTCAAAACTTAAATTGTCCAAAATAACTCCAATATTCAAGAGTGGCGAAGATAACGATGCGAATAACTACAGGCCTATATCCTTATTATCTAACTTTAACAGAATTTTTGAAAAGATCATGTACAACAGAATGAAAGATTACATTGACAAACATAACTTATTGTATTCCTCCCAGTACGGTTTTCGTAAAGGTCACTCGACTCAACATGCAATATTAGACATTGTAAACGCAATACAAATTAATATGAATCAAGGTCTTTTCTCGTGCGGAGTCTTCATAGACCTCAAGAAAGCTTTTGATACTGTCGATCATAACATTTTGCTTGACAAACTTAATCACTATGGTTTTCGTGGAATTATTAATGATTGGTTCTCCTCGTATTTGAATAATCGGATGCAATCTACTTAAATCGGACCATACATTTCAAACAAAGCCAACGTAAGTTATGGCATTCCCCAAGGATCTGTGCTCGGCCCGTTGCGTTTTTTATTGTATGTTAATGACATACATCAATGCTCGAATAAACTTAAGTTTTATCTCTTCGCAGATGATACTAATATCCTTTACGCCGATAAAAACTTAAAGTCCCTAGAGAATAGTAAATATCGAATTACAAAACCTCCACGAATGGTTAACATCCAATAAGTTAACTCTCAATACTACAAAAACTAACTTTGTAATCTTTCATCCTTATCAAAAAAAAGTCACTTACCAACCGAGCCTCTACATGTTCGATAACGAAAAAAATGGAAATGCAACTCTAGAGTCCAAAAATTATATTAGATATCTTGGTGTGTTGATTGATAAAAATCTTACTTGGAAATATCACATTGACGCCATTACGGCAAAAATCAATAAAACCGTTGGACTAATTTCAAAACTTCGGCACTCCATACCCCGTCATATACTGTTATATATTTACCAAACATTAATCCACCCTCACCTAAACTATGGTCTTGCTGCCTGGGGTCAGGCATCCAAGACGTCCGGCATGATGTATTTTACGGATATACGTGAACACGCAATTCCTCTATTTATCGACGCTGACATATTACCAGTGTCATTTATGTATTATAAAACTGTGGCTAATCTAATGCACGATATTAACAACAACAATTCGCCAACAAATCTGCTCAATTCATTTGAAAAAACCTCAACAATTCATTCATACTATACAAGATCATCTAGTTCAGGTAACTTTCACGTCAAAAGCTCAAAGGTGGAAATACACAAAAACTCCTTGTCTCGCTTTGGTGTAAAACTTTGGAATGAGATGCCTTGTCATATTAGAGATCTTCCTAAAAAGAAATTTAGGAAAGTACTTCACAGATTGCTTTCGGATATCTTAAAAAGAGAAGATGACTAAATTGAGACGCCCTTAATAGTTGAAAAAGTTCGATTAATAGTTTAGTGATTTCTGTATTAAAGTATTTGTTTCTTTGCTTGTTCAGATTTAATGTAATTAAAATAAAACTGTGATAGAATATTATTTATTGTAACTTAAAATTGTAGTTTTCCTTCCTTTTCCTTTCCTTTCTTTTCCTTTCAATTTATTTTTCTTTTAACTGGTCCGCCTAGATTAGCAATTGCTATTTTGCGGGCCAGTCTATCGTAACCAATAGTCTTATGAAATAAAGTTGAAGTTAAAGTTGAAGTTGAAGTCTCTACTTAAAAAGCCAATTTAGAATATTATTAAATTCTGATACTCTCTAAACTTACGCTAAGACATGATGATATGATTATCTCTAATAGAGGCCTATTTAGAAAATCATTCGGTTTTTACACTCTCATTATCTCTTATATACCTAAACGAGGCCATCTTAATGTGATTATCTCTACTAAAAGCTTATTTATAATAATATCAAACTCATTATTATTAATGTTATTATTATTATTATTATTATTATTATTATTACTATTATTATGGCAAAGGAGAAAATGGGAGGGAGGATTGAAGATTGAGAACTTTCGTGGACCAGAACTACAGAAGATGCCAGAAGAGGGAGAAGAGAATGAAAAGGTTCGCGAATCAGAAAGTGAGAAGGTGGCAGAACCACTGCCCGCAAACAAGAAACAGATTGAGGCCACCAAACTATCTCCAGAGGCAAATACTTTTTCCAGAGGCAAGGTCATGGTCAATTTATCACATTCGAAGTTAAAACGGAAAGGTCATACCATAGAGAAATACACCGGCAATCACTGTAATTGGAGACCACTGGGGAATCCCTCTTCTGTTTGATGTTTCCACAGATCGGGCACCATTTTATCTGCTTCTCCAGTTCCACGCTTTGCGTAGTGAAAGCGTAACAATTTTTAAGGCCGCTTCGGAAAAAGTTATTCAAGATGTTGCCATGTGCGCAAATATCTTAAAGCAAACATGCGAAATACTAATTTTCATCCATGAAAGAGGTTTCTTGCACAACGATCTGAAGAGCAATAATGTTGTGGTTGACGGATCGGAAAACAAGCCCGTAATTATCGATTTTGGAAAAAGCTGCAAGATTGTTAAAGCCAGGTTACGTAAACCTGAGGTGCACATTGATAAATCGATGAACAAATTTCCGCACATCGCACAGGAAATACATCGCGGTGAAAGGCAGTCCATCGCTAGCGACGTGTTTTCGTTTGGCTATCTGGTCACTCGTTTATTTAAAGACGCTAAGCTAGAACCTCCACCAGTCCTGAAGGAAGTGGCTGCAAAATGTCAGAGGTCAATCCCAGGAAAACGTCCTAAACTGCTCGACTTTTTCACCATCCTGACTAAATTATCATAAATGATCTTACTGTGCGCTCGATTGACCTTGTTCAGGAATAAGTTGTCCGATGTCTTTCAACCTTTTGTAATACGTCAATTGGAATAAGACTTACTGAAAAAATGCTGAAAATCACTAATTATTGGCTTCCATTTACAATCCAGAATGTGTTGAGAATTTATACTTGAGGCCAGTGTTTCATCTAAGTGGTGGATAGTTTTCGGTCGAAGAGATTTTTTCAAATTTCTGCGTGTCATTATTCCGGAATTCGATCAATCGAGCGCTTTCTTACTGAGGTGGTCAAACGGGCACCTTTTTTTCTTGTACAAGCCTCATCATGATCACACCAAAAATCTACTTTCTTCAATACAAGGAGAAACCACGTTTCAAATCATTGTGGAAACTTAATGAACGTCGAAAATGGGTTACTCGATTAAAATTAAGCCTTGAAAGAAATTTCTTTCGCCGTCTAGTCCGGCCATTTTTAGTAGGTTAGCCTTATAACTTCCCCTGTGCAAGGAGGGAAACTTCTCTTGCATCCTTCTTTTGTACTTTTTAGGAACCGTGTAACTTATATAAATATATGACATATTTTTTAACGCCTTTGCCACAAACATTATGTGCATAACCAGCGAAGTTGTTGACTTAACTAGTTTATAGATATATGTGTGATGATATTCACGCAATTCTGCAAGGAAACTGAGCGCTTTTTGAAATTTTGTTACATTTCTCCGGTTTTCGACAGTTAGACGAGACCATTGCATAATACTTATTGTCGATTATGCTTATGCCGCCAACGTGACAGAAGTCAGAAGAAGGATTATTAATCTCACCTTTTTAACGCTTAGAATTACTGCACTTTTCACAAACATGCGAACTCTAATGCACCTATCAATGTAAATCCCGTAGGGGGAGCAGTGCGGGCAAGGGGCGGGGATTTGATGCCTGAGACTATCCCCATGTCAGGCTTTTGATCGTGCGAAGCGACGCCGGGGTCGGGATATTTGACTTTGACCGACAGAAGCCTGGTATCAATTCAGAAGCGGTTACCAAGTCCCTCCCTCAAGGCTTTCTGAAAGTGACGCTGTTGGAGAAAGGTATGAAGTTTTCGTTTATTTTAATCACCATAATCCGATACTTTAAACTGTCATCTAAACAGGTGTCTATTTTGAGAAAGGTTTCCTCTTCAAGTTCCCATCTGATTGTAAAACTCGATTGAAATCGAATTCCACCATGAAAGTCAGAGGATTTTTTACGGGTCACTGATCCGACCTGTTCCGACATGTTGAGCAGATGTTATAAAGCATTTTACGTTTCATTAATATTATAATAGCACAGTCAATCTTCCTGGAGTGATTTTGTTGTTCAAAATAGAAGATGCTAGTGGAGAGAGAAAATAGTTAATTACAGCGAGTAATTTAACGGAGCTTACGTTAACCATAAATAAAATTAGTAAGAACGTACTTTTGAAATATTCTTCTAATTTGTTTTATATCGTGTTATAGTATGGTTTGTCTAGACTTTTTCCCCTGGGGTGGGGGCTTTTTTGACACTTTTGATCAACCATTCGTTTCCCACCGTGGGGAATTTGATCCAAAGATTTCCAAATATGTCAAATCCCCACCCCTTGCCCGCACTCCCCCCCTGGCCTCCCCCCCACGGGGCTTACATTGACAGGTGCATAAAGTTCAAAAGCCGCCTTCACAACTGCGTTTTTCGCTGCCGTCAATCATAATTACGATCACAAGCAACGAACCATGAAACACAGAAACACACAAAACGGATCGAAATCCACAATCACAAATCACAAACTATGACCTTTTGAACTTGTTAAAGTAAAGTTTTGTTTCCTAAGAGGTCCGTTAAGATGATGAAAAACGCAATCGTCAGTTGGCTTTTGAACTTCAGAATTCGCATGTTTGTGAAAAGCGCAGTAAAGAGAAGGATGAAAGAAATCTAATTAAAATTGAAAGTGTCGACAGCTGATGAACATCTTTCATGGTCTCTTTTTTATTTAAAGAAAAACACTTCTATTTATTTCAACAATCTCCTCACAGTTCATCTGGGCTGTATTATCTAAGTATTTCCTTCGTTATTTCTTAAATTTT